CAACAATAATGACCAGTGCTCCCTTTTCAGGTATATTTGGAGTTAATTTATGACTTGTTATTTTACTCACATTGCATTTAATTGACTGGGATCCTTCTCAAGGGCCAAAACAAACAGATGGCATCCCATAATTTGTCGATTTCCCAAAACTTTTTCAAGAGCCAGGGTTATTTTTTATTTAGGATCTCAGAAAATGCAGACAGTGCATGCAACCTCTTTCCCTTTAAGTAACTTTTGAATACACAAACAGAATTTTAAAAAGCCAAATCATGAGAAGGGATCCTCTCTGTCTTGGGCAGGGATTCGTATCACTTCCGTTTATGCTAATGGGAGTTAGGCACCTGTTCTGCAAGGAAAATAGGCCCCTGTCTATGGAGATCAACATGTGTGGAGTAGTCTCCAGATACAAAGCCGAAATCAAATGAGCACAAAGGTGCGCTAAAACCACAGGGCACCACGTGGCCCACCTGAACACGGGCGCTTCATGTTTCACCTCCTGAGTCACAGGCCCCTCAATGTGACTCACACCTTTGCCATTTAAATGTGACAAAAGGGGAGGGGGCATGGGCAACCTCAGCAGTCTGGTGATTTCCATGAGCTCACACATAGTCCTCTGTTCACCCTCAACATGCTCATGAGAAGTGGCCCTGCTGAGTCTGGCTCCAGCCATGGCTCGCTGCCCCATTTCAGGGTCCTGGAGGGTCACTGCTGGTAACAGGAGGGCTTGGGCCTGAGCACTGTGCTGGGACTTCCTGCGGCAGGTGGGTGGTAGTGACTAGGGACTAAGTGACCAGCAGGTACCAGGGCTCACAGAAGGCAAGGCTACCCAGGCCCAAATGGGGACGTCTCCATGGGTATCACAGAGGCCTCTGTTCAGAGAGTTCTTGGCAGCCACATAGACAGAGAGTGCCTCTAGCTCCACTCCAACGGGAGGGGCCCTGTAGCTGTCTTTCCCCACATTACGTTATGTTTTCAGCTAAAATTGTGATGTATCAACACAGGGTCTTGGGAGGTGAACTGAGATGTCCAGTATGGTTTGGTTTGGCCTTGACTCCCTTATGTTGTCTATAACATGGGACTGTTGCTCTCCCCATTAACATTTCAACACAATTGAAATAGGGAATGAGAAGACCACATAGCATGCACAGTTGGCCACGTTTCTAGAGGTTTCTTCTTCTTCCTACCCATCTAGGTCAAGGCCCCAGTTCTTTATTCTTGATCTGCCTCGTGAGTGGCATTGTGAGCAATCCTTGTGTGGACAGGACAGGCTGCATAATTTGCAGGGCCCAGTAAAAAAGGAGAACACAGAGCTCCTTCCTGACAAGTTTTGCATGACTGCAAGACAGAGACAGCAGAACATTAACCTGAGTTCAGGGCTCCCCCAGCACAGGGACCTCCTAATCGTGCAAGTACCACACTCACGAAGACGGCTCCCCAATGGAAGAGGACCTTGACAAAGATAGCCGGCTGTCCCCTTCTTCCTTCCCAGCCTAGAAGAGGCCTCAGTCAAACCACATTGGGACAAGGAAAGCAGGACATCTTAAGAGCCTCTGACATCTATCCAATGTACTCAGGAAAACGGATCGCCAAGTACTCTGAAAAAACATTTGCTTTTTTTTTTTTGAGTTGGAGTCTCACTCTGTCGCCCAGACTGGAGTGCAGTGGCCCTTCCTGGCCACTGCAGCCTCGACCCGCTGGGTTTCGGCGATCCTTCCACCTCAGCCTTCCATGTAGCTGGAACTACAGGCGTGCGCTACCACGCCCGCCTAGTTTTTTTATTTATTGTAGAGATGAGGTCTCGCCAAGTTGCCCAGGCAGATCTCAAACCCGCGGGCTTAGGCAATCCACTCACCTCAGCCTCCCAAAGGCGCGGGATTACAGGCTGAACCACTGAGCCCGGCAAACATTTGCTTTTTAAACGCAGATTACATTGTAAGGATTACTTAAAAACAATCTGTTTTCTTTCTAGAGGGATCCACAAAGTAAGGTTTTCCATCTAAGGGCCAGCATGACTGATGAAGAGTTGAGGACCTGAGAACCAATTTTGAACACCAATGATGGTATCACAGCCTCCTGGCAACTGATCTTCAGTTCCAGAGTTCTTCTTAACTGGCGTCCAGCTCAAGCACCTTCCCTCTCATCAGTTGCGCACAGCTTTAGACTTGACCTCCAATTCTGAACAGGCCAGCTTGCCATGAAGCCACTCCCTCTGGCTCTCTGTAGTTGAGGGGATAGTCGGAGCGCAGGGGAGGCTCAGCATGTAGGGCACCCGTCTCTCTAAGTGCAGTTATGCTCAGTGAGTTCTAGCCTAGTGAACCACACTTAGCAAAGACAGTGATGGCAGCATATATCCATGTCTCAGGAGTGGGCTGTGGCCACGTCTCACTGTGGGTAGGCCAACTTTCCCTTCAGTACAAGGCACCTCTATAGCCTAGGTCTTCAGGGAATTCCAACGAGGCATGGAGGTGAACAAAGGACACTGAAATGCCCCCTCCCCCCCAATAAATATAACTTACAAAACCACTTAGAAAAAAACTACAATTGCGGCCAAATTATTTTGTTAAGTCTAAGTTATAGTGGCTTTGTATATAATCAAACAATAGAGAAAGAACTGTTCAAGGGTATAAGCTTATCCTGATTTTTGGTCATTCAGAGAATGGCTAGAAGATTGTAATATTACCTATTCTCAATAAAATAGTATATCCTTTTTTTTTCTTGGTAGTGAATTTGTAGGGATAAACAACCCTACAAATTGTTTGGCCTATTATATGTCACAGAGATTTTTCTATAGCCTGTCTAGACTCCAGACAATGGGCGAGACTGGCCTATAGTTGCAGACGTTTCTACAGTCTGTAATATCACTTAGAAAAGCAAGGGCAAAAACACAAAAATGAGAACCAGCCTGACCTGCCAGGACGACAGCAGAAATAGGAGTATAACGACACTTTGCAATTTAGAAACGATGACATCGTCTTACAAAGGAGTTTTAGCAGCCACATATCAGCCAAAGCAACTTTGTAAAATCATAGATATTCCCAAAATATGAGTCACAGTCAAGTAATTCTGTCCATAAGCTCTGAAATCACTTGATTGCAGAAATTCTGTATGCATGTCATACTGCACTTCCTTATTGCACAGGACAGTGTGGATGGGTGTGTGGGCAGAAATATATGTATGCATTTTTACATATTTAAGTCAACATGAAGATTTTTCAAAAGGTCTTTAAAAGTAAAACGGATAATTAAACTATTCTTTCAGCTCTCTTTGAACACAACAAAGAGGGAGAAAATAATTCATGTTGCAGATAATTTTAAGAGACTTAAGGGACATTACATATGTGCAAGGGTGGGTAGAGAAAATAATTTTAAAATGTTATCTATTTTCAACCATTTCATCTCTCAGCATGTCTCCATGTTTATTTTTCTCCCACAACTACACTTGCTATAAATGAAGGAAGGAAGGAATGGAGGGAGAGAGGGAGGAAGGGAGGGAAAAAAAAGAAAGAAATCTTGTTTATATTTTTACATTCTTCTTTACTTTTTTAAATTTTTTTAGGAAATTACCCAATGAAGAATATTTGTTTTTGTTTTTGTTGTTTAGTTTTATTTTGATGAAGACCATGAGATACATTAGGTACAAGAATATTCCTTGATAAAAATATTGCCGTAAAACTACTGGCAGTATTTCCAACTCAGACAGTATTCTCTTGCCCAAAGACTCCAGACAACATCAATGGTCACCAGACTATTTGAATCTTCACCACTGGGACCACTATTAACAGTCTCTGTCACTGTTGGAAGGACTCATCAGGTGGAATCAAGAGGGTGTCTAATAAAATGGGTAACATGCAGAAGAACCAAGGGGTTGTTGCTATTTGTTTTTTAAGTTAGAACTGTGCGCCCAGAATAGAAAATTCCCATCTCTAAAGCCATTCCATTTCTGTCCCTGGCTCAATTAAAAAAAAAAGAGACCTGCCAGCTAGCTTGTTTTCACATAATAAACTGTACCCTATAGCAGTATTTAATATGTCATCAAAAGTTCCACTGCAGAAAAAACCATCCAGGATTGCCAAACTTAAACATTTGCTGATTGATGAAGCCTTAGAGAACCCTTCTTAGTGTGATCTGCTAAGCCTGTCCACAAGGCTCTCACGGCGTACTTTCTAGGTCTAGGACACTATGAATATACATGTGGTATCTTTTCCCCCAGAATGCAAATGTTAGATTCTTATTATGCCAAAATGATATTACATAGTACTCTTATTTTATTTTGCTTGGAAGTTCAATCTTTTCTTCTTTGAGGCAAAAATTCTGTACCTTGCCAGAAATGAAGGTTTTTGTTAACACTTTCTCATCTAGTAAAAATAAACAGATAAGTCCAAATGATTGTTAATGTAATATTCAATAACGGTAGTATAAAAATTCAAGGAGATTTGTTTGAAATAAAAGATGTAGTTTTTTCCTTTGCTAAGTACCATAATACTCAGGAATATTTACATAACATGTAATAAGACATACCAGAGAAGTATAGATCTCATAGCATAACTTTGAATACCATGAAAATGGTATGCAATCCTGATCAACCTCAGTCTTCTCAATTGGCTACACTTTAATTAAAGATAAACTGTATATATGTTAATTGAGCATACCAATTAAAACTTGACTTTTCAGGCAAATACCAAATTCCAATATCAATCTTAGCACAATCAATTTGGCAAACTTTTGTGCTCATACATTGGTGGGAAGTGTCCTGTTTCCCCACAGGACAGCTGGGACTTCCACCGCACTCTAAAAGGAGCCGAAATCAATCAAGCGTCCCATGCAAAAAGACAGAAGATCAAATTAGGCCCTAAGGAAGTGCTGCTAAAGTCAATGGAAATTTGCAACATACTAGAGAGGGTTCTTGTGGCCCACAAGCCTTGTCAGTGGTTTCACTAAGTCTTTAAAGTTGATACACAAGTCAAAACAAGAACAACCATGCAAACAGGACAAAACGCATACCTCTCCAACGTCGTAGATCCAGATTCGGCCTTCTGAGTCCCCGACAGCAACTTCTTTGCCAGCCTGGGCCCAACGAACACGGTTTAGAGCGGACGCTCCCTCGATGGCTACACTTGCTGTTGGAACCTGCAATAGAGGCAAGGTCAGAAAAAAGAATCTCTGAATAAGAATCTAAATACACGAATTTACAATGAAATGTTTAGCTGGGTGAGTCGCCCCTGACTTCACATGCATGAAGTAGATACGTCCCTTGTCCAGGGGTAAAAAGGACTAATTGTTCCTAAATCATATGCTCCACTGGATTAAGGGGTAGAGAGAAGAGACATTCTGATGAGAAAGGACTGGGAGAGAGTCTTTTTCCACAGTCACTGGGCAATGGGAGACACAATATTCCTTTGGACTTTGCCAGTGCAAATCCAACATAGAGACACAGCAGCTGAGTGGACCCCCTCACCATTGGGTCACAGAGTATGGACAGATGGAGAGAGAGACTTCAGGATTTACCAGGATTAAGGACACTATAAGAGGCAGAAGGCAGAGGTGTATGGTGGACTAATATGGATCTTTAGGGAAAAAAATAAACATGTATACTGATCCTTCAAACCCTCAGCAGGGAAGAGATGAACAGAAGAAGAAAAGAAATCATGCAAGTAAAAAACTTCAAAACCCTCAAATTCTCCTTTCTTTTCTTTCTTTCTTTCTTTCTTTCTTTTTTTTTGGTCTCTCCCCAACCCCCTAGCAGTACCAGGAACTTTTGCAATGTCTCCAAGGCGATATCCTGATAGCATAGAAAAGACCTCCTATTTCCCTTAGTAAACAGTCAAATCTAAAAGCATTGACACTTATAGTAATTATTATTATTAAGGTGAACTAGAGGTGCTGAAATGGAACATACAGAATTTGTTATAAGAACCTCAGTATTTGTGAAAAGACCTTTTAGTGTCTATGTCTCTTCCATCATTGGTTGTGTAAACTCATATCTTCAAGGCTAGAAGTCTATACTTGAAAGAAAGATCAGGTCTTCTGGGTCTTCTATAAGAATGTTGATTAAAAAATGACAACATGCCATGGAGAAAGAAAGAGAGAGAAAAACTTGGTGACGAGACGGCCACCAAGATCATCCCACGCCACCATTTAAGACCTGTGTCTGATGTACACATCGCATTAGGATGGAAACACAACAAGGACTGTGACTTAGCCTCTGGCATTCTGTTATTCAGGGAATTGAAACCATCTGTTTATACGAAATTATTGACCCAGTACCTATCTTTAAAATAGCAATAAAAACTCCATCATATGTAAGAATCTATGTTTAAACTTAATCTTGAAATCAATAAAAATTCTTTCACCCGCTTAAAGCATTGTATGTCAATTGTGAGGGGAAAAAAGTCTCTGGCTCATTTATTTTTAAAAAATATACAATTTCTACAATAAAGGTGCCTGCTGTGCAGGCTAGAGTCTGAATTTTTAACCAAACCTTTCAAAGGTTGAAACAATGTGAATTTAGATGGACCATAATTCTGTCAATACACTGTATTATTAAGCACACTGCCCAGAAAACAAATCTTTGATGCAGCCAGACAGTCTTCAGGGTTAATTTTTAACACCAAAATTTATAAGGACCATAAAGGATTCTCACCTAATTCCATTACCTAATTCTATTCAGTATCAGAGTTTAATCTATGAACAATCTTAAACATCGAATAAAATGTTTAATCTTAATATAAATATAACCAAAAAAATCAATCAGTCAAAAAGAAACTGGTCTTTTGCCACATTTAAAATAATGCCTAAAACATTTTCAAGAATATTATTTTGGGGGGACCTAGGTACTATAGCAAACCGAAACAATATTTTAAACATTTAAAAATATTTTCTTCTTTGCAGATATTATAAATGATAGAAAATAACTATTACAGCCTATATTATGTGCTAAAAATTAATGAATGCATGAAGAAAATGAAAAATATCTTTGTATGAATTTAATCAGTAATGACCTTTCAACAGTTGCTGAATCTAGAATAAGAATAATTCGTATGTTCTTTCTCCGTTTCTTGTTCTTATGCTTTGGTTTCACAGATATTTTCACAGTTTTCATGGCTCAATTATTTTAATTGCAAAGACAAGACATATACATATACGTGGCATAAATTATAACATTAAGCAGTAGAAGTCAGGAGTACTGAAGTGGGTAGATATGAGCGCTCCCACATAAAACAGCTGGGATACCTAGTTCTAAAAACATAGTAATGTGAGCAGCAACAACAGCAAAACACACTGCTGTACTGGGAATTCAGATTTTTTAAAAAACAAATCTCATTATTAATCTGATAAATGTTTTTAAAATGTTCAACTTGCTAGTGGGGAAAAATGATTTAAAGGTTTTTAAAAAGTGTTTGGTTCATTACTGGATTTGAATCAGATTCAGTATCTCTCTATTATCTATTATTATCTATTATTTTGAAAGCAGAATTATGTTTACCACAACACTCAACAGTTTGCATGACCAGTAATACATTTAGCTATAAAATTTGTACGTCGCTGTCTCTTGATACCTAGAGTATGAGAAGGGAAAAAATTACATTTGGCAATGTTGAGACATTGCTTTCGTTTTACCTAAAAAACAGGTTTAAAAAAACCCAGCTGCCTGGGACTTATTAAGGAGCTTGGCGCATGGCGGCCGGGATTACCTAGACACCACCTCTCCTGAGCCTGGTTTCTCCTACAGCCGTCTCCTCGGTCAATCTGGAAATGCCGGCTTTTCGGTTACTTTAAGTGAGTCTCTTCTAGCAAACAGAAGCAATGTGATTTTAATCAACAGTGCTGAAAGCCTCTGGGAAGCCCTTACAATGTAGGGTAATAACATCTTTCTATTAAAAACAATAATGTTGTAAACATTTCAACATCCCAAATGATGGGCCTCTCCTGTCCACATGCATTTTGGTTATTTGCAAAGGGGTTTCCTATCCCTCATCTTGGTCACACAGTTCCTGGAGCTAAAAGGAAAAATCTACTTGAATGGAAAGACTTTAAGAGATAACTCCTGGGCAACAGTTCCGAGAGAGTATGTGCCCTTGAAGATAACGATAACTCAATAATAACGCCTGAAGAATATTGCCCTGTCCCTCTTAACCAAAACGAAAACAAAAACAAAAACAAAAAACAACCTGAGGGAAGTCCCTCCTCCTATCCTCCAGTTGTGGACTCCCTAATTAAAAAGACCGAGCTGCTTCCTGCTCACGACATTTTCCCCACTTGACATGTGGAAACTCTTCTTACCTGTCCATTTTTATTTATGGAGCGCGTTCACGTCTCTGAATCAGAGATCAGAAAATGATGCAGGGACTATTTCCTTTTATAAAACTGAGGAACATTTCATCTTTGTGTTTTTAAAAAAATTCCCCAAACCAAAACACCCAAGTAGCTACCTGAATTAGCACCTCAACGATTTTGAGAGCCTGGAAAAAAAGCAGCCATGCATGCAGTATAATGTTTAAAACAGACATTTTTAGAGCATACATATAAAACAGTATTTTTAAAAATTTTCAATCGTCTGCTTAAAAAAACCAAAACAGATATTTTTCCTTTGTGAGCTACTCTAAAGGTGACAGGTCAAAATCCCTTTAAAAAAAAAATACTGAGTTTGACAAGCATGTTCCAAGTTAGAGTCTGTTGTAAAAGTCTACCTTTGAGTTCAATGCCTGAGACAAGGAATATTTACCTTGGTAAAAATCAAATGGATGAAAGACCTAAATCTAAAATGGTCAACAGGATCACCTTTTATGCCTTCAAAATAAAAATGGTACAAGTAGAAACCATTGACAAACAGCCCCTTTTAAATGCCCAGTATAAAGTCAGTATCCACAAAAGCTTACTTTTCGAAGTGCTTGCCCTAAAGTTATCTCAGTAGGGCTGTGACAAATGCCTGTGTCCCTGCCCACAGGGACTGGTGTGAACACATATATTGTTTTGCTCTTCGCAAAAAAAGGGTCATTACTTGGCCAGGTCTGCCATGGTTTGGGCTTGGAGTGAGATGGTTTGGGGATGGAGTGAGATGAAGAGACTTGGGCTGATACCTCTGCCAGTTCCCTCCAGGCATCAGGAGTAGGGCCGGGGAAGGAGGGGGTCTTGGAGGAGGAGGCCTTGGAGGAGGAGGCCTGGAGGCAGAAGGGGGCTTGAGAGAAGTAGGGGGCCCCAGAGCAAGAGGAGGTCTTGGAGAAGGGGTCCTGGGCAGGAGGGGTTGTGGGATAAGGGGGGTTGGGAAGGAGGTCATCTGGGAGGAGGGGGCCTGGGACCAGGGAGTCTGAGCAGGAGGAGGTCTGGGAGGAGAGTATCTGGGGAGGAGGGAGTCTGGTGAGGAGGACATTTGGGGAGGAGGAGTCTGGGAGGAGGGGACCTGGGAGGAGGCTATCTGAGAGGAGGTTGTCTGGGAGAAGGGTATATGGGGAAGAGGGACCTGGGAGGAGGGTATCTGGGAGAAGGGGTCTGGGAGGATGTTATCTCTGGGGAGGAGGTCGTCTGGGCAGGAGGGGTCAGGGAAGAGGTTGTCTGGGAGGAGGGGGTCTGGGAAGAGGTCGTCTGGGAGGAGGGTATCTGGGGTGGAGGTGGGCCTGGGAGAAGGG